GCATAATGAACATTTATTTAAATTACAACCTGAAATATTAGTAAAATGTTTTATATATACACTCACCGGCCACTTTATTAGGTACAACTGTTCAATTGCTTGGTAACACAAATTGCTAATCAGCCAATCACATGGCAGCAACTCAATGCATTTAGGCATCTAGATGTGGTGAAGACGACTTGCTGAAGTTCAAACCGAGCATCAGAATGGGGAAGAAAGGGGATTTAAGTGACTTTGAACGTGGAATGGTTGTTGGTGCCAGACGGCTGGTCTGAGTATTTCAAAAACTGCTGATCTACTGGGATTTTCACGCACAGCCATCTCTAGGGTTTACAGAGAATGGTCCGAAAAAGAGAAAATATCCAGCGAGTGGCAGTTGTGTGGGCGAAAATGCCTTGTTGATGTCAGAAGTCAGAGGAGAATGGGCAGACTGGTTAGAGATGATAGAAAGGCAACATAATGCACCATGTCACAAAGCTCAAATCATCTCAGACTGGTTTCTTGAACATGACAATGAGTTCACTTTACTCAAATGTCCTCCACAGTCACCAGATCTCAATCCAATAGAGCACCTTTGGGATGTGGTGGAACGGGAGATTCGCATCATGGATGTGCAGCCGACAAATCTGCAGCAACTGCGTGATGCTATCATGTCAATATGGACCAAAATCTCTGAGGAATGTTTCCAACACCTTGTTGAATCTATGCCACGAAGAATTAAGGCAGTTCTGAAGGCAAAAGGGGGTCCAACCCGGTACTAGCAAGGTGTACCTAATAAAGTGGCCAGTGAGAGTGTATGTGTATATATATATATATATATATATATATGTGTGTATGTATGGATTATTTATTTACAGATCCATTAATTTATATGTCTATTAATGGAACATTTAATATGTCACAAAAAACATACTTTTTTGTTATCTCAAGAACTTTTCAGAAAACTTGTGTATAGTTGTAGAAGGTTAAGTTGTGAAATAATGAAATGGGTAATGGGCAAAGTTTTGGGATCAATATTTATGATTTCTGAAGGATCATGTGACACTGACTGGAGTAATGGCTGCTGAAAATTCAGCTTTGCCATTACAGGAATAAATTAATTAAAATATATTAACAAAAATTATTTTAAATTGTAACAATTCACAATATCATTGTTTTACTACATTTCTGATCAAATAAATGCAGCCTTGGTGAGTATAAGAAATTCTTTCAAAAACATCTTTCAAAAATGTTACCAACCCCAAACTTGTGAATGGTAGCGTACATTTATACATTTCTTAGTTTCACTTTTTAATGATTTTACCCCTATGTACTTCACAGTTGTAGTGTAAATAGTGTATATTGTATCGTTTTATACTGTACTGAATTGTATATTGCCTTTTTTGTAATGTTAGAAAGAATCCATTATGACAAATGTATTGTGAATGCTGTCACAATCTAACCAATCTAATCCATTAAACGCAAACATCAATTTTAATTAGTTACAGAATGGATTACAGAACACATCCATTGTAGACCAGACAAACGTTTGTGACGTGATGTTCTGCTTCCACAGAGGGAATGTATCCAGAGCATTGCTGACTATGTGAAGAAGAATCCCCGGGCTTCTCAGCGGGAGCTCAATGCCGAGGCTGAGAAGAATGTGCTGCTGTTTGCCTCTAGGGTTCAGGGACTAGATAGTGGCCACTGAACACGTCACTGCTGCACTGACCATTACTGCTCTTCACTTACCAAAATATCTCTTCTTTTTTTCTCCCTCTCTCTTTTTGTATTTTAACAAATATATCGAACTTTATCTAATGTCATATGTTGAATTATGCTTGTTTTTTCATAATTTTGAATCATTATTTTTGTGGACAACACGTCAACCTTTGTTGTTGTTTTTAAATGATATATA